CATGCGCTTATTAATTAGTTAGTTTATAATTTAAACGATACATGAGTGGTAATAAAATTAAACATTCTACAAGTCCTTGTAGATTTTTATTTATATTTTAACAGGTTTGAAAAGTAACAATAATCAGACCTTACGACCTTGGACGTTACGACGACATATTATTACTTAGAAAACTATTATTGCAAAATAGGGGTTCGAAACTGGTTGTTATACTTGTTACATGGTCAATTCTTAGCATTAAAATACTTTTAAATCACAACAGTATTTACGAATTACATTTTATTTTGCTAATTAAATCAAATAAGAATCTCCGAGATAATACAATTCACAAAGAGATGTTTTAAAATTCATTTTGAGTTTTCTCTTGTAGACAACTTGACATTAGCATTTATTCCAAAGAGAATATAAAACACGTCTGTTCTTTTCTCATCAAAAATCTGACGTAAACAAGAATTATTAATACATAACAATAACAATTTATCACTTTCAATACCAAATTATGTAGAGATTTTTCGATACAACGTCACATTACAATTTTTCGATATAACATCATCCATCATTTTCTTGCCTTGTTCCCTGAGGAGTGTCGGCGCAGTATGTGCTACTTTAAAATAAATAATTGGGCAAGTAGTATATAAGTATTCGTTATTAACCACAGCATCTGTACAGAGCTTCGTATAATCATGACAAATTATAGCTCTTCCATCATTAAAGATTTTCTTCTTAGAAAATATGTACTAATATTTGCTTTTACTCAGTATATTCCTAAGTTTAATTTTATACTGCGCTGATTTGTAAAGCCGTAAACATAAAAAATAAAGGAGACGAAGGAGTAAATTACGCGAAAAAGACCATAAATTTAGCTAATTACAATTCGACAATTACCAGGCGAGCATGAGATCGTAGTCGGTATAGCCTGTGTCAGGCACGGGGAGCATTCTCCTAGAAAGTGTCGTCAGCCACATCGACCCTCTAATCACCACGAATTGTCGCGACTGTTACCTTTTGTTACAACGCTAATTATCTATTTGCAACTCCCCATGCCACAAGGCAAAATATCAACAATAATTACTACTAATTTAAGAGTCGCTATAACAAAACATGTGTATAATATTATAGTACTCAAATCAATAATCAAAGAAGACATCTAATGACCTAAACAAACCTCAAATATTACGTAGCTAAAGGTTACCAACCAACCAATGTATTAAAACCTAATTATCAATTTAACTGTTAACGAAACACAAAATGAATAAAATGCTTGCATTTGTTGCATGGTGAGATATGTACATATACTAATTAATTCTGCGGTAGCTCTTGAACATAAGACATTGTCCTTGCACGCTTATCTCGATTCTCTACACGTAAATCGTAAACATTTGTAGATATAGTTCTACCTTCTATTGTGTATCTTTCGAACTGTCAACAACACAGATTGACACGAAGATTTACTTTTGAAAATTAAAAACATAAAAAAAAACTTTGCTGCATTACATCACGCAACTAAATAAAACCACCGCACGGGTCTTCCCGAGGCTGGTGACAAAGATAAACTAGTTGCAGTGTTAGAAATAGAGCAACGAAAATTTAATTATATTTCTTTCCATCCACTAAGTACTACTAGATAATTGATACAGAGAACTACATTACTACAAGAGTCTACTGTTGATATCTGATTTTTCGTTAAATTCTATACCTTTAGCTATATGAAGGATTTATTTAAATAAATAGATCCTTCATATAGCTATATAATAAATAACATCTTTATTTTTATACAATTTTGTACATTAATCCAATATTGTAAAGTTGGAAATGGAGGTGTGAGTATATTTTGGGAGGAACCGCCTACTTACGATCTATTAGCAGTGCGGGCTACGGTCAACGTAACCTCATAATCTACTAAACGCTGAATCACTTTTTGAACACTCGAAATAACATTTCTGATAAATTTACCTCTATGCAAATTAATAAAAAATAATGAATAAATTCATGGATCCAAATGCCGATTATTTTAACATTGAAAAATCAAATCTATTTGTACTTTTTTTTACCTTTACGTAACATTGATAAAGGGCACACAAGTGGAATGCATCCTGCGATAACCGTTGTTATTGATAACAGTTTCAAGGACGTTTGCATATTAAAATGGATTATCAAAAAAAAATGCACATTTGAATGACATAAATATCGATGACACAATATGAATCAGACACAATTAATTAAGATGAATACATTGAAGACGAATGCAAGGCCACTCGGGTCAAAATCGCAAATAAATCTGCAGACGCAAAATAGGACAATGCTGCCGTGAACAATTCATATACATGGTACGTGTACTTGTGTGCTAAAATGCGAAAAAAGGTTTAACATTTTTGGCAAAAACCGAAATTTGTCCAAAAATATTTCCCGTACCGGGAATCGAACCCGAGCCTCCTGGGTGAAAGCCAGGTATCCTAGCCACTAGACCATACGGGATACGTCTGTGTATCACAAATTTCGTATGAATCGTAGTTTTGGAATTACTTTTTGGTATAAAAGTTACTACATATACATAAGACTAACCTCATAACGATTGTAATATAATTCTTACAGCAAAGGGATTTTGCTTACTTAAATTTTAATTATGTGAATTGTTATTTAAAAAATGGCTCACTTTTATGTTTGACAACCCTAGTTGATAGAGTAACAGGTTATGTTGAGTAACAATGATTAAAATGCACTATGGCAATAATGGAATCAACACTCTTAAAAACATTAAAACCGGCATTTCTAAATCTTCCCTAATTCTTATGAAAACTTCTTTTAATCCACTCTACTATAGTAAGTCATAAAGACACATTAGGAAAATTTTTTAGTTGATATTTTATAAGCCTTTGGACTATAGCTTTAAAGTACCTATATCTTTCACATGTACCTACGAGGCCCACACGTAGGAACTTATGTAGCAAATTGTTCACATAATTACTAATGCCGTATGTTATGTTACTAACTGCAACCATTGCGAATTAGGGATACATTTTTAATATGGATTTAATTTTTGAAAATATTTCTTACCTGTATTATGTTTCTCAGTGACATTGTTAACGGTTGCAGGTGTGTTTTTGACTTCTTCCATTCTTTCTCGAAAAACACTCTACCTGCAAGGATATCCGTAAAATTTAATTATTTAAAAACTAATATAATGAAAATTAGTATACTGAGTAGTTTTGTAGAACATCTGATAGAAATATTACTGAGGTAGGTATTACGATTAAAAATGAATACTTGAACCACAATATTATAATGTAATTAAGATATTTTCAATAGATAAGTGCGCACAAAAGGTACTTGAAAATTTTAAATAACTCCCTAATTTTAATTTTTTATATTTCTAAGTATTCACTTACTTGTAAATAGTTGTACACTGATAAACACCTCACCTTATCACTAATCGCACTACGTAAACACAGCCAAAGCAAAAGACGCTAAAAATAATCGCTACGGTAATATAAAGAACACAACTTTATAGTCGCGCGCCCGCACGAGACAACTACGTTTGACAACTTCGCGCTACGCGAGGAGACACGCTCAGTGTTGCCATCATTTAGTTTTGTGTTCCCTTAGCGTGCAAAAATTAAATCGATTTGCTTTTTTAAATTCACTTGTATGCTCACGTACATTGATTAAAGGTTTAAATAAAACATTAAGATGGACGTACGTATTTTGATTTTTCTAAAAAAAAAAAGTTTTGTTTATATTACAGTAATAATAAGTTACTCAATTTCTTCATTTTTAATAACATAAAATTTCCATTTAAACTGATTTTATTCTTATAATAATATTACTACTTTCGTTAAATGTTAATTCGTATTTCCCTGAAATTATGGTTAATTTTTAACTCGTCGGTGTCTTCCACAGCGTCAAACTTACGAACGTTGCCGAGGCGCCGCCGAACCTGTCCGAACTTTTGTTATTGATGTCGGAAAAGAGTTTCCGCGCCATTTTCTTTGGCGCGTTGTGACAGACAATTTGGCAAATGGTTTCCTACCCACTTGTTTCTCTTTAAAATCGAGATGGCTAGATGTGGCGTTAATGCATCTTTTTTTACAGTTTTAGTTTATTATTTCAGACGTCAGTAACTTAAAGTTTAACTGATTGTTGTAATTGTCGTAAATTAAATTTTCCTATTAATTACGTATTTAACTAATGCTCAATACATTTTCGGCGTTTTCAGCAATAATCTGCTAATACTCTTCGCAAAAGAATTTTCTATTGTTCGTTATTCTTTTAATTTAGGCAATAATTAAGTTGGTCTACTAAACTTACTTATTATAGTAATAATCCGCATTCTAAATTCAATAATACTTTGTTAGTTACAATGACGAAGCATTCATTTCAAAAATACTATTTAATAATCTACCGAGGTTTGAACTCATAGATAGATACTTTTTTTATATTATTGGACCTTACCATATTAACTTACCAATCTGAGCTTTGTATTTTGCTGCATTACAATTGATTTGACTTAAATAAAAAAGGCTCACCTGTCCACAAAAAGCTCTGCTAAAAATATTCTGTCCTGACAATTTTTGAACTTAAAGTTGTATGGTATCTTTTGCAAATAATTGGGTAGGATGTTATATGTTGGTATTGTAGCTATATACATACGTATGGGTACTTTAATGGTCTGTTTACGTTGTTCAGTTCGTTAATTTACTGACTTCCTTTTCCTTACACTTACAGAATCTTATTGTACGAATATTTCGGGATGCACACACTATGATACAAGAAAGTATCATTTTTTATTTCTTTAAGTTTAAGCCATTAACTGTTATTAAATTTCAATGTTTAATTATAAATTTATTTATTTAGTAGTATTAAACTTTTGAAAGCTCTGTATTCATCATTCTCGAAAGCAAATCAATCAAATATAGATAATACACGGCAGAAATTTTAACAGTTTATTATAAAATAATTTACGGTATTTTTGTGTTTTGTCGTTATAAATGTAGATACTTAAATAAAATAATAATAAAAGTTTATTAAAAAGACACGTACAACACGCGTTTACAGTAGTTTCTTTAATCTTACTTTATTATGTACAGTCAGGTCAATTGTACAAAAAGATATTAAGATGTGATGTTCGTATAAAAAGGGTCCGTATCTAAGATGTGCGTACGGGGCGGCGGTGCGGTGCGGCGCGGCGCTTAGCTCTCCGCGGCGGGGGCGGGCGCCGCGGCGGGGGCTGTCACTGGTTTGTTGCACAATCTTTGAAGAAAACCTGCCAAAGATTAAATAAGATTTTATACCTAATTTCAAGATACTCTTGTTAAGTTAGTTGGTCCCAATTTTGGAAAGCTTTTGTCAATTTATTAGTTTTTTTTAAATGGCTATTTGCTTTAGTTATAACAAAAACAGTATTTTAATGTTTTAAAAAATTACGGGAAGCTGTATCTAATTTTCTTTTAGAATCTACATCATGTTGAAATTTAATAAATGGCTTTTAATTTAAATTATGAACGCAACGTTAAAGCAGTTTTAAACTTAAGAAGCCTCAGTTTTATGGTACATTTTTAGTCTAGCAGTATTTTAAAAAAGAATCGTGAATTAAGATAGATAGAAAAAGATAAGCAGATGTTATAAAAGCGTAGAAGATAACGAAAGTATAAAGATATAACTCGAGATGATAAAGCTTTTGCAAGATTTGCGCAATTCACGCGGCCTCAATTTATCCACTTACGATCTTATAACTAAAGATATGACGATATTTTGATCTTCTACGCCATGACCTTCTTCAGGAATGCTGTAAACGGACAAACAATAAGACACGGGGACAAACACAAACATGTATACTACATTTACATGCCAACAATATATTTATACACAGCCTCAACATAATATAATTGAGGTTTCACTCAACAGATGTATGGACAAAATACTTCAGACATTTAAAAGGATAGTGGATTTTAAATACATAATACATGCTTATGTATAAACCAGAGATTCAGACAAACATTGAAACAACACTAAACAAAAATCCATATAGTTTTAGTTTATTTACACTAAATACTGGCTGGAACTCGCATCTTCGTCGGCTAAAATTATCACTTCCTCCATACAAATAAATACAACAGTTTTGAATATGTCCTTAGCCGGATCGATGATGTCAGGGATTTATAAACTTTGGTTAACTCTGACTACAAACTGTCTAGGAAAAGATGAACGTATACAAAATACAGTTGATATACAAAAGGAGAACGTGCATGTTTACCTATATCTTATCATGAAATTTTAAAACTACAAAAATTTGTCTGAGTTGTAGCTGTAGTTGTAGTTGTAGCTATACAACTTTAGAGACAAATATTTATACTTACATGCGTATGGGATCATGCCGTCTTCGTCTTCAGGGTCCATGCAATCCTTTGTGACTTCCGCTACTTCATTGTCCTCTAACTTCTCACCTATAAATATTGGTATGCATTTAATATCCATTCAATCAATTAATCCACGAGGAACATGGATACTCTTTGAATCCAGTGTGTACAAAAGTGTGACATGTAAGTGAATACACAAATCCAATGAATACTAAAAGGCTTTTTACAATTCCGTACAGAATTCTCATTTAAATCCAAATTGTCTTTTACTTAACAGTAACTAAACGAATTACGTAAGATTAGGAAACTCCGACGAACAATGCATCAATTTACATTTTAAGTGGTTGTTGCAAGGTTGTTTTAGAGTGTTATGATGAACGACATTTTCAAAATGCTATATTAGCCAATCAAATCAAACTTGCGTGAAAGAAAAGAAAGAAAACGATGGCATAAGGCCATCGATATTCACAATCTTTGATTCTTTTATTGACACAATCTGATCGTGAGCATTGTGAGGTAGCTGCTTAATAGTCATCATACACTGGTCATCCCTCCAACACCTTTTGAAAAATCTGAGATAGCAAATAGTTGTTTCGTGAGTGAAAACGGTAGCGTTTGCGTGTTACCTAAGGCAAGGAGGGTGTGTGTGAGCTCAGCGCCGAGCATGAGACCGTTCTCAGCCTTGTCGTACAGTTTCAGACATTCCAGGAAGTCCTCGTAGCAACCCTGGTCTTTGTCTTTCTTGCACTGGCTGTAGATGGGAAGGAACTCTTCGAGCTGAAACAAGACCGTATAAAAATGCATTCTAAGTATTACAAAGAATGCAGTCAGAAGAATTGTACATGCTCCTATAAAATCTTCATTAATTATCTCAATTGAAAATGTTATCAAACCAAATATTGCAATAACATCTAAATTGTCTTTCTCAAGTCCAATAACTTAAAACTATATTTTCTAACTTCTAACTATTTCTGTAAAAAATAATTCCTTTGTATCATTTTGTAATTTTAATATTGTCTTCTACTAAAAGTGACTACAAAGATTAAAAGACATTTACCGTGAGCTGTTTCTCGCCCTTCTTTTTGGTGCCGCCGAGTTTCTCGATGGTGGCAAGAGTGGGGTTGGAGTTGAGCGCCCTCAGGATGTCGCCGACATTGTATGCGTCAATCTTGCCGTTACCTTCGAAGTCGTAGATGGAGAAGGCGAAGGATGCCCCTATTCAAACAACAATCAAGTTTTATAAGATAACTATACTATAATAAAATAAATGCAAGTAAAACCATCATATTCAAAATTATTTGCATTATCTAGTATTTTATTTTGAATTGTCTTTGAAAGCGTTATTAAAAGTTATTCCTAAATAAAGTAGCTGTCAAAAACGAAACAGCAGTGGAAAGGTTCCAGAAAATTGGCTATAGTTAAATCAGGTACGTAGCGAGGTGGCGTGGGCGAGCCCAGAATAATATCCTTTCCACGTTTCAATATGTTCACTGTGAACTCGTGAGTCACATTCTAATTATATACCGGTTGTGACGGTGGCCCAGTTTCGTCGCAGGTGCTAAAACGAAGCACAAATCTGAGCTCTTCTAAATGTTGATCAGAAAGAAATAAATCGATTTTAAATTATTCCGAAAGTAACTCAGAAATCTGATTACACTTTTCCAAGAATAGTTGATTGAGTTTGTATTTAATCGTAATTATTATTGTAATTAAAGTTGATATGAAAAAATGAAAATAAGAAACCTCATATGACCTCATAAAGCATTGGTAAACAGACAAACCTATAGCTATCCGCAGATATAAAAATTCTTCAGATTTGATAATGGTGATACGATCACAAAAGATCAGGAACCGATAAAACGCGAAACAAAAACTAAGTCTTTATTGCATACTGCAAAAAACATTTTTATGAAGATCTTTGATAATAAAGTTTCCGCAGCAAAAGCCTAACTGAAATTCATCCGAAAATTGACCTTGATATTGACCGACCGGTTAATAACTATTCTGAAAAAGAAAGTTTCCAATAAGTTGAAAACAAATAACAATAACCATTATTATCTGCAGGCGATCACTGGCCTAAAACCGATAGCAGTCTCGCGCTGAAATTCGAGCGGAGTTTCTCTGTTTGGGCGGGCGGGCGTTGTATCACGTGACGCAATGGTTTAAATTTGGAACGCGCGCGCATAGCTCGACGTAACCGGCGCCGACCGGCATCTCTTAGCAACGCAACCTTTTATGACAATTTTCAGCTATACATAGAAACTTATATTACTTTTCTTCAATGTTTCGTAACAGGTTATCGATTATGTCTTACGTTAAAGTACAAAATCAAAACTTAAGTTTTAAATCCTGAAAAGTGATACTTAAGCTACAGATGCTATTCCTGAAAAGGAAATTTCTTTTCTGAACATAGAACTATATACTAAAAGTTGATAACTCTATAAACAGTGAAGCTTAACCTGTTTTCAGAGAATGTATATTTTTCGTTATAGGTAATATAATATAATAAAAGAATACTCACTTTCGATGTCGTTCTTGCTGAGGTCGCTCTGAAAAATGATTAAAACATTTCGTTATTTTCATTTTAACTTAACTTTATTAGGATGTGTGTATTTAAGTTTTGTGTTGCGTCACGTCACTGTTGGTGTATGTGTGTGTTATCCGTGTAATAAGATGCGATATTAATTATTCACTGTCGTTTAAGCACATCACTATTGCTGGTACTAGATATACGCTCGCAAGCTTCCGGTCTGCGGAATTTGTATCACGAGTTATTTACGCGGTTTGAGACACTTGTGTTTTAGTAACTGGCTATTTTCACTGAACTCCTTTTCACAGTCCCACTGGCGTCGTAGTTGACTCACCATTTTGTGTGGTGTTAGTTGGTTCCCTCCCGGTCTTCACTGGCAGACGTTCAGACAAGAAGTGGGGCTCGAGAACTTTTCGCTTGACTGTTTTAACTGGCTCAGATGGCGCTCCCGTCTGGATATTTGAGATTTAGCCCAGGAATCCGCAACCGTTCTATTTTCGGTGGAGTTACTTGTTTTCCGTTGCGTCTTTGAAATCCGGAGACGTCCGCGGGTGCGAAAGAGACAAAAACATTTCTAACGTGTCGGCCGTACGTACCAAGTGAAGCGAATCTAAACGTTAAATCTACATTTACGCTAACTATTTCGATCTATTCCGTATATAAGATTGAATGTAAGGTGGCAACAGGTATTAGTTATGACAAATTTCCTTGCAATCTTATTAAAATCAGTAAAAGTAGAGAACATAAAAATATTTTGGTATTTTAATTTTTTTAAAGATATATGTATTATTCCATACAGGTGACTATTACTCAAAGAATTTCGTTATTATTGTATAAAATATATGACTGTAAATAGAATAGAAAGTTTATAACTAATAAGAAGTAAGCAAGTACCTAAATGTCTTTTAAAAAATAAGTTCTCTAAATAATTTTAGTAAACGCACAAGAAGCTCGCTAATAGTATCATTTTTATTATATTAGTCACAGCTGAATAATTTCATCATCTTTCATATGTTAAAAATAATTTAATCGATAGAATTTGATAATTTTATTAAAGCAAAAAAAGACATTTGAAAGTAGTTAAATTAAATTTGAACGCACTAATAGTTTTCATCCTCGGATTTAATCTGGTTTGTGTATTCGTTCCATTGCGCGGAATTGACAATAGTTTCATTGATCGTATTGAACTTCCATATAATGGGGCGCGAGGGGGACGGGGAGCGGATGAGGCGGTGGTCCAGCAGACTCGCCGCACGAAGCCTGGAGGAGGGAGATAGGGGACAGTGGCCACGCACCGCGCCCGGCATACGAGGCACCTGAGGATCATTTTAAAACAAACAAATTAACATAACTACCGTCCCTACAATAGCTAAAGAATGAACATTGACTGACTGTAACCAACTCTAAGAGAAGCAGGGTAAAAATTTACATCGAAAACAAAGTCACTCACTCGTCACAATAGAATTGACATACACAATATAGTTTCAACACTGGGTTATCAAAGTCATCAAGCACCGAAGGTAGATCAGAGTGATTCATACTTTGTGCCTGCCGGGCAGCTTGCGGCGCCACCACCAGCCGCGCAGGCAGGCCAGCAGCCGCGCACCCTGCAGCCGGCAGCGGCGCACCAGGCTGCTCTTGCGAGACACCGCGGACGCTGATACCGCTGACGTCGTCGCTAAGTCTTTGTAATCCTAGCGACAATGATAGTTGATTTATTCCAATTGCCTCTCCTTAATTTAAGAACGCATATTAGACTTTGCCAACAAACGCAGTATTGACGCGACAAGACGAAACAATAAAATATCGAAGAGTCTTTGAATTTGTTTCTGCCTACAGTGACTCTTATAACAGCATGTATGTTGCGACCAGCATGATACTACTAGAGACAATAATATCAGAGTGCGGTACCAACGTCTTTCACCTACTTAGATCTTGTTTACTCAATATTAAAACATTTTATAAAACTTATACGTGTGACGTATGCACTGAGTAAGTACAATTTGCACGGCGCATCCCTTTGCCAATACAATTATTTATTCTGCACTCTTGACTAGCAAGCTGTCAGTTAGTTGTATAGGCAGCGGCAGGTAACAAACGTCTACAAGTAGTGCATAACAAATTATTCAGTATCCATATGATTGCCAAAACATGCGATTTTAGTTCGATATCCAACAAAGCTGCCTTCTTGTTTAAATTTAAATAGCTAACCTCGTTTATGGATATAAAAATTACAAGATCAATAAAATTTAAATAACCGTACTACTTTATCAGTCGTAGGCAACTTCAATGAAGACGCCTTTCCTTGGGATAATTCCACATCCTGCAATGTCAAGGATTTTGAATCTTGATGTATAAATACTTCTTCGTCAGAATATTGCTCGTAATCTCCTATGAATAGAAAATTATTATTATATTATGGAAACGTACTCAATATTTTGTAATAGTTAAAAAAAAACTTACTATTAAGAGTGACGTAAGCATGTTCGTAATACTCGATCTCATTCGTTTGGGTGTTTTCATTGAAATTGGCATTTATCTGGATACAAGAAATAAGACTTATTTAATATTTATCATAATTCGTTTTAAATCCATAACCATTTAAGCACTTACCGCCTCTTCAGCGAAAGCAAAAGTTGAATCAGATATCTGGTCCTTGCTATTGGTAGGCACATCATCAATTAAGAATGCTATATTTTTAGCAACATTATGAGACAGAGCGTCGTCTAAAAATGAATAGCTGGAGTGTTCACTACTGTGAGATGTTTCAATAGTATTTTGTATATCGTTTGTTACATTTTCTTTATCAATTACGAAGCTCAAAGCAGAGTCCACGCAAGATGCGACAATGTTCATCATTTCTTCTATTAATATTTCATTTGATCCATTTGTTCTATCTACGTCATCAGCAATATATTCGACGTCACTCATATCAAATAAACGGTTAATAAAAGTAGATGTCGATTTATTGAAATCGCTTTGATCTTGCGCATCTTGCTCCTAAAATAAAACGAATATTAAAAATTTACAACATATTTCATACAATTGAAAGGTAACTAGTTAATAAAACTTACGGTGCAAATTTCCTCGTCACCTTGTCCTATGATGTATGTATCGGTTTTTATATTCCTTTTAATTTCATCTGAAAAAAAATGTTTTAACGTATAGATAATGCATAGGAGTGGATTCAGATATGACGGCTGATAGAGATGTATGGAAGAGCAGCACATACTGTGCCGACCCTCCATAAGGGATAAGGGCAAGTGGATGATGTATAGATAATGCATAGTAACTAGTTTCGTATTTAACACGGTAAATTTCAAGAGGTTTCCTACCTGTTAACTTTTGTGGGGTTGAGGTAGCTATCGTATTAGATCCGTGTATGATGTTGACGTCATCATTATCACCTCTTTCAATACTAAAAGTTGAATTATCATTTCCTTTTTCAATTGTGGTATCAACGTTCAATTTTGATACGGTTCGCCATGGCTGACCTGAAAGATAGAATTGTGGTAGTTATTTAATACCTCGGTGATTTAACAATAGAAGTTAGAGCGAATAATTTGTCAAATAGTACATTTTGTTTAAACTTACCGAATTCTTTAGCAGCATTAACAATGATACAGGCTTCGTCTAACACTTGGCTGACCAGATGCACAGCTAGCGATGTTGCCGCTGTTGAGTTCCTCTCTTCGTCCACAATATTTTCTGCAAGATATACTCGTAAGTACGGCATCCTAAACCTTAAGATTTATTAAACGAACCCCGATTTTTAAGAATTAACTAATTAAAATATTCCTTAACATGACTAGTAATGTCTCTTTGTTATTCCAAAGGAAGGTCATTCAGATAATCTCACGTTTCAAATTCGTCATTATTTTTCTATAAAGTATTGTGTAGTTTATTCAATGATTTAAATGAAATATAACGAATTATTACCTATATTTTTGTTATTGTATTATTTATAATTCTTACCTTTATTTGTCATAGTGACATTTGATATGAAAGACAAAACAAAAGTTAGACAACACGAAAATATTTTTTTCCTATTATTACAATAATTTCAGCCAGTATTTTAGTTTAACAAAAGAGTTAACTACAAAGTAAAGTTGTAAAAAGAACTTCAGCATTTTCTTTGAAATTGGTACCTAACAGTGTCAGATCTTCAATGTAATTTTGAAGATTTAAGTAAAAGATTACATACGAAGGAAACAAAATTGCAAGTCGCAGTCGTAAATAAGTTTACGTGAAAATCATTATTCATAGAAAACATAGTCGCTATTTCTGTATGAGCCAGCCAATACCGATGCGTTTCTTTAACCTCGGATCTATTTTAACATGTTTCTCGATTGTACCATTTACTATGTCGACTGATTGTGTTATACAAGTATTGTTTAATATTACAATTAAATGTTTCATTTCAGGTTACAATTTGGCCATATACCGTATTAATAAATACTTTAGTAGGTAATCCGATATCTTTGTATTAAATCCCAGAAAGAAGTTAGCAGAGGCACCTGCTTGTAAATTAAAAAAAGTTAAATACGATATAATCATCTTATCACATCATCCAAATTAAAACAAATACAATTAAAACAAAATCGCAAAAAACATTTTAATCTAAAAATCGCGTGATGAGGTTATTTAGATTGTTTTAAAAGTATGTTGTAATAAAAATGAAATAAATATATTGAATACGCCTAGACTGACATTTTTGTAGCTATTGCGTCGTAAGTGCGGTGACAAAGAAAACAATCTATAAAGTAGGTAATATTTAGTGCCGGCGCACCTTTAACGACCCTGTTTATAAAGTAAATTGTCCGCCTTTATGTGACCGCTCATATGTTTGTACGCAACATCACTCCTTAATTAAACATTGATGCTTATTGTTTTTAATTGAATTATCTTAATCAGACCGTACGTCAGTTTGTCTTTCATTATTAGTACTAGGTGCACTGGTTTTTATTTTGAAATTTTATTTTTGTTCCTAAAATGAACAAGAGAAAGCAAATGTGTTCTTTCAAATCGTTAATTAATTTAAAAAAATGAATTCCCACATATATTTTACAATAGTTAGAAAACAAATGCCTATAAACTACTGGTACTTAACGAACTACCATCGTTTATATTAAAGCAGTCCAAAGCCTGTATTTAGGAAATTGTACTGCTTTCATGTTTTTCTTAATATTTACGCATCTCTACTCGTCACCAGGGTAACAAGAGGCTGCGACGTAGGAACGGTCTGCGCAGCCAGATCAATGTAATCTCTACAGGGGTGCCACAAGATATACAACCAATATTATAAGGAACTAGAATTAATTGTGTTACCAAGGATCTATCTATTTACCAATACCCCTATATAGGTGCTAAACGTTAACTACTTTCTCTATTAAAAAGTTCTGACAATAACATTATTGTTCAGTTTAGCTTCAGCTTATAGTTACTCTTAACTAGCAGATACTCTTTTCTACAGTTGAGTGTGAGACATTAAACCGAACACTATGTATGATATTGTTTACAAACTTTGTAGGTTTTGCAATAATAATAATATAGGGCAACTTAATAGTGACAGCCCTATGAAGATGTCTCGAAACAAGTGCGCAGAGCCTCACTCTCAGGCGAGCCACCCGCGAGCGCGTGTACCTCTCCTTGCTCGCTCTGAAATTTTCCCTCTTCCCGTCCTTTCAGCACTTAATCCGTAAACAATTCGTGACATGTGATTTTTCATAAATGTATTTTTCTTCGATAGAAACATTAATTATGGCCACTGTTAAGACCCTGTAATAGGTAAGTGATTTTATAAATGGAACAAAAAAAAAACAATCCATACCTATTATAGTTTCTCTAAAATAAAATGAGGTCAAAATGCTTAACAATTCTCTCACCTACTTCTTAATAGTATGTGATATTTAAGAATATGCAAAAATAGAGAAAAAATCTCTATTAAAGCAGATCTGCATCAAAATGAAGGAATTATTAGATGACGACTCCAGCAATGAAGAAGTGATCCCGATTCCTGTTCAAATATTTCTTTGGAGACAAACAACACCCTTCGTACGTCCAAGACTTGGGAAGGTTCATGATGCGTCATGTATGGTCAGTATAGATTTCTCAGTAAGACTATAATAAAACGATTCTATATAAATGTGTGCCTTTGTACATAAGCAATACATCACTGCGAATAATACAGAGTACATATATAAAATAAATGGAGAAAAAATAGTTGTAGGTATACTAAAAAAATCACGTTTTGTTCATTGTGTTCAAATTGCGCAGTTACTGATAACGTTTTGGTAGTTTAACGATATGACGAAAAAAAAACAACATACATAAATTTGGACAATAAATACTTGATTTTTTGTTGTATTCATACCTACGACATATTTTTATAAGTTATGGTGTACCTAAGTGTAATTATATAAATGTCGATTATAAATAATTGAAATAAATTTTATGAAAAAAAAATAAAAAAAACCTTAACTAAACGATTTTAACTGTTTTTACTTAGTACACGTGTGTGATTGTATGTACTTGTGTGTATAATGCAGTTCATTTATTTTTTGCCACCACCCAGTTTTGTCAACGAGCACCAGGCCATCATGTAAGTGTTCTCTTCGCTTCGTAGATTAGAGTTATAGTAACATTATTTTGTAAAAACCACATGTAATATATCACAATAAGCACTCACCCGCAACTCAGCCATCAAACCAAAGGGTAAGTAGCATCACAGGGTGGTAGATAGTAAATATTTCCATCTCTATCAATCAGCCAAAAAGCTGCGTTTATATATCTCTTGTGAAACCTACATTTTTTGTGTATTCAGATTTCGCAAGACTTAGATATAATTTGATCTTAAAAATGGAAAACACGAAAATTTTTAACGTGCCGTACGTACGTAAACAATGTAAAGCATTTGGAAATGCAAATCAAACTTATCACTCAGAAATTTCTGAATAGGTTATTGTAAAAATGAGCCAAAATATGTTTAAGTACAAAAATAATTAAAGTTCTTGTTTTGTACATTTTATTAAATACTCCCTTGAGACATGGTTTTAAGGAGGACTCAAATAATTTTTCAAAAGATCAACATTCTTAAAACTTAAACTGTCAACTGTCAAACGATATGTCAAGAATAAAACAAAAGTTTGTTTACATTTTCTTATCAATGTATAAAAATCAGCTGTAAACGTTAATTATAAATTAAACTAACATTCTAACTAGTCATAACTGAGCGATTGTATTAATTTAATATGTTACATTTATTTATTAAGGTTTTGAGTTATGTTTTTATTTTTCATAAAAGTTAGCAAACTAATTTTCTATTATTTTATTTCCACCGTCACCCTCTTAGGAACTGAAAGAAGCTTGTAAGGTGAGAAATTATTGTTAGACCATATTTTTCCACACACTATGTTTGAAAATCAGATTAAACTTTACGTTTAAATTTTTCTTTCAGTCATTTGAAAAAGTACTGGTTCAAAACTTACGCTTCGGATTATCCGTCAGCTTAACCGATGCAATAGAGTCGATACCGAGATGGCGTCTGATTCAAGCTGCACTGCCTCATGTGATGCATGCATTGGCTGCATTACTACACAACAGGTACCCACATAATTAAAAAAAATAAAGTGTCTTACTTAGCCATAATATATTACAATAAGCTTGGTTAAGAGCAGTTTTAATAGAGGATTACCGCAAAGTTAACTTCTAAAAATGTGGTTGTCCATGTGTTGGATCCTTCATCAACTTTTAACTTACTCTGAATAACTTAATTCATTAGAAATATGTTATTTCTATTATAGGATAAAGGACAACATGCAATCATTAGGAAATGTAGAGACAAAGCTTCTCTACACATTGCACTGGATCCTACTTGATGCATCAGATGAATGTGCCGACAATGATTATGAAAATGATAAATTTTATTCCAACCCTTTCTATTATTTATTCTCTATACCTGCCATAACTGTAAGTATACATACAATCTGAGGTTAATATTAAAGAATATTTGATGCTTTAATGAATAAGCAAATTCTATAAATTTTTAGATTTATGTTCATATTTTAGCTGTTTGTGTTCCTGTTTGCACCAATATCACAACACTTGAAGGAATCGGATTTCACTAACAATTATAGATTGGAAAATGGTTTAAAAATGTGGCAGGCTCTGTGGGAGTTTAGACATCCTGATGCCGCATGCTTTACCACTTTAGTCAAACCTAAACCAAGATCTTTTGGTGGTAAATATTCAAAAAGAACTCAACCTGAAGATGTTTTTCTGGGCCGTAAGTATAAGCTATTTTAAGTTATTTAAAATAATTGTATCACTATGAAAATCACTCCACTACACACTCAATTCCATTCAAATGTTTTTTTGCATTTTAACTTTTAATTTTCCTAAACACTTTTTTCTACATTCAATTTATACCTTTACTTGGTACAACATTAGTTCTTATTCAGAATAAATTTTATTTACAGGTAAATTTTCCAAAGAAGAAGGGGGTAATAGTGGAAGTCCTCCAAGTCAAAATATATCAGTTTCTCAATCAGATATACCATCTAAACAAGCAAGTACAGAGGAGGAACCGTGGGTCTCCTCACCGAAAGATACTATCTTTCCGGAAACCATTCCCGAAGAGAGCTCCAGTACTGAAGAAGAACATGTTGTAAGTTTTTTTTTTCAACTTTTTAAAACAATGACAGTTTATTAGAGTAACCATCAAGTAGCACTTGCCTAAAGTAAAAGTTATGATAACAATATTGAAAGTAAACTGATAAGATGTATTTATTGTTTCTCTTTAAATTGTATTATCGTTTTGTTTTACCATTTCAGTTCATTTACCGCTTACCATCAGAACAGAACTACAGCGGCCCATACAAGGAGGTGTATACTGTATATGCGGCCGATCCCAGTTTGTTTCAAGTCCGTAAACCAGACAACATGAAGCCTACACTGCCGGGGATAAAACCGTTGCCACAGATAACTAAAATGAGGTATTTAAAAAATATATTGTGTCTACTCTCATAATGCTTGGTTCGCATTTGACCATTACAGTTAGACAGTTGCGACGGCCAGTCATAATTTGTATGGACTTACTGGCACCATTTCGTGTTCACACTGTGCCAGTTGATTTCCAGTCCAGTTATTGACCGCTACTGACCAACTGTACTAGCCAGGTGTAAACCTGCAATAGTGCAGGCAAAGGATAAATGTAAAGTTTATTTGTCATTTATATTTACAGTTCTTCAGATAAAGAGTCCCTGTCTGATAGCGGCGGCTGCCCGCCCATGAAGGGGACGCCCACTTCTGCGGAGAAAGCTCCTTCGGCCAAACAAGGGAATGTAAGTCATTTTAAAATTTTGTTGTAAAAAATAGTGCTAGGGCGCTGGACACACCAATCAAACATAAACATAGTAGCGTGAAGTTGGAGCTGTGTTCTGTCTCATAGTTGAGTCGCTATTTTAATTTCTACCATGATACCGGTGTACTTTTTATATTTTAGAATAATTGTTTCTTTTTTTAAAGGTATCAGCCGCTACATTTTTGGATGTTGCAACACTAAGATGTTTATTTACAACCCAGTGGCAAGAAGAGGGCGTCTATTGGGCTCTTTATTATATATACAATAGGTAAGTGTTTACTCAAAAATTAAAGGAAAAGAAGTTGGGAATACCGTTTAAATTGCGTGTTCTTTTTAAGGTTGCGTGACATTTGTGATGATGTGTCCAAACAAATTCCACCAAGAAAAAGAAGCAACTCTCTGCCTATCCCAAAAATAGAAGTATCTGTTTACCAGAGTCCGGATATAAAAGAGCACGATTCATTAAAAAATTTCATGGAAGTCCCGGATTCCAAAGAAATCTCACCAATAACAGAGATACCATTTGCATCTGTGCCGAAAGTTGAAGAAGAAAATGTAATGACAAGAAGAGCAAGCGAAAAAGTGAAACGGAAAATGAAAATGGCCGATTTGAAAGCATTCGTTGAAACAAAACTGCTTTCGAAATCCGAGAAAGCCTTGGAAAAGATTGGTCATGAAGAACACAAATTTAGTTTTCATACAGCAGTAAGAATGATATCTGTAGATATTTTTTTTTTATTGCTTTAATATCGATATTCTAATATACATTTTGTTGCAATTTTGTCTACTTATTTGTAGGAATATCACAGGAGTTTGGACAATGCAGATGACAGGCCGAATTCAGCTTTGGCTACTAATTTCCAAGCAATAACTCCGCGCCTTACTGGAGATTTACTGCCCTGTAATCTCATCAAAGGCAAAAGTATGCCAAGTCTTAGGTCAGTTTTATTTATTTCTATGTTTTAAAATTACTTTGTACTTCTAGTTTTATATAGTCCTAAGTATGCCTTCAGATCGATACTTTTTAATACATCTAATTGGCAAACCTAAAATGTTCTAAGAAAAAATGTAATAATGTAGACGTCGGAATACTAATTACAAAGAAACTATTCTATCGTGTCTTAATTTGCTCATGACTTTAAGTTTCCTATATAAATGGTGATCTATTTTTCTATGCACAGCATGATTTTAGTTTCATACACATTTTCTAATGATTTTTCTACTCAAATATATTTTTTCTCTTTCTCCCGTGATTTTACTGCTTTATCCTGTACAATAATTATGCGGACGAAAATTGCTAGCTGTTTGATCGATGAGCTAGCGTCTAATGGGTAAGTTGATAAGGAATGTTACAACGAAAGTAGACGCTACAATAGTTGCCAGCTCTAGTCTGGTAGGGTGTGAACAATTATATGCGTTATTTACTGTAGCATAGAATTCTATTTGCTTTGACAAAAATAAATATGAGATAGAGCTTATGTCCTTAAACATAGTGATTTGCACAGAGAGGTCACTAACAATATTAAAATGTAAAGTGCTGTAGTAAAATTAGTAGAAAGGTAGTCGTGAAGTACTAGAACGTAGGTAGCGGCATATATTTTAAAGCGCACATAGAACCCTGAGAAATTGTTAAGATTTAAGTTAAATAAAATACAGTTGCTTGATGTTAAATATGGATTTGTAAATAGAATTTTAGTTGCGTGTGTATAAGGTGTACATTAAATAAGAACCATTTTATGTTAATAATATTTAATACCATTTGAAAAAACATTGTGTTAATAATGCCTAAGAATTATAAGCCATCCTGTACTTTAGCATGTAAATAAATCCTGCACATAATTTTTAAACTCTACCCTAACTTATAAACATTGGAATTAGATTACTTTCCCACTTTAACTAGTTTATTAAGAATCTGAAAACGTACAAATGTCTGTTATGACAGTGTCATTCGTGTTTATGATACATGGAAACACGAGCAATTTGCATGTAATAATAATAGGTATACTTATTATTTACATTTAATAATCTAACGATGAAATATGTAAGTATTTTTATATTTATCTAATTCCGGAATAAAAGAAAAAAAAAAGTAAATAGATATTAAACTTTAAACCGATGCATGAATTTAATCGTAAGAATTAAAACCCAATTTATAATGAACACAAAGATGAATTTTACATAACATTGGCAATTACCCTTTAAGAATGCTATTCCTAACAATGTAACTAATATCCTTTAATATAAATATGTATATATTGCAACATTCGTTTCAACAAAAATTAAAATTATTTCTTTACAGATATATTGGCGAAGTGAAAACGGAACGCACTCACGGACAGACGACTGCAACACAGAGCAATGTCCTCAAGAAGAAGAACCCAATCATTACTGTGACTGAGCACACGCCAACGCCCTCTCCAGACTACCTTTCCAAAACTAGACAGGTTGGTATGACATTAACGTCACAGATAGAATGATTAAGTTGTCATTAATGGATACCCTTACTGCTTATGTTTAAGAAATTTACACTTCAGAGCAACCTATGGCCTTAAACTTATGATTTTGACGGCCTTTTATACACAACACAACATTTATAATATTAGTAAAAGATTAGATTTATTTGATATTTTTCAGGGTTCGATGGAATCTCAATTAGACTCTATAAGTATGCAGGGGTCCCAGCACATGCCCACCCCCGAGCGCAAGCCGAGTCTCACACGCTCGCAAACAGACTCCAATATAACGTACATTTTGGAGGAGATACAAGAGGCCGCTGGATCCAAGTATTACATCACTAAAGACGGTGATATTGATCTACAGATCATTCTTAAGGTTAATGTCATACTTAATTGCTTGTGCAATCAGTACTAATTAAAAAAACGCATTATTCACGATCTGTTACCGCATGAAATTATAAGTTTTTTTTATCCATTTGCGAAATTTTATATTGCAAATGTCAAAATTCAAATTCACAAATAACAACGAAGGTTTTTGATATTTAATAACAATTACTGTTACCATGGCAACCTTGATGTCAGCTCGTAGTTTTTGTCCCTATCCTGTATGATTATTTTTTCCAATTTATTTACCACTTAAGTTTAATAGCGCGAAAATATATAGCCTAAAACGTGTCGTAAGTGTAATTCTTTTTATTAATAAAAAGCCAATAAGTAGTGTGCGTTTACGCTTTATTATAATAGTATAGATAAATATTTACGGTATGCTTAAATTTGGCTATTCGTTGTTACTTTCAGGCAGTTTATTCCGTATCGACTATGGATAGTTATTACATCACGGTGCGAGTGATGGAGGTAATGTTAAACTTGGTGGACACGCTGATGGAGGTCGGAGTTCACAAGAATTGGCAAACAGATGGCACTAAAGAGGCACAACCAGAGACAATTGACCCATTATCGGAATTCGTTAAAGATAAAGACAGCAAGGTAATTATTTATTTAGATTAATCTCTCAATTAAAAAAAAAACAGTTTTATTTTATATAACAGATTATTAATCCCAAAAAAAATATAAGATATCTGCCAGTTTTTTTCATACAGTATTTAAGTTGTAATAGATTAAATTGAATAAAGAAAGTAGTTTAAATAAAGAAGTTTGATATGTCAGTGTTAATTTTATTTTAATTTTAATTAAAGGAAAGGGATTCAGGTATCCCATGCGCCCCCAGTCAAGAATCCACTAATGTTGAAGGAGGGGAGAGCAAGGAAAAGATAAAGGAGGAGGAGAATTTCGATTGTCCCTACTATATGATAATGCACATTATTCTAAGGTACTTTTTTAATGAAATATAATAATAATATTATACGGTTTATTCTGTTGCCAACATGATAATTTTGTTCGTATATTATTTTTAAACCAGAGTGTTTTAAATTAATGTATAGATACAGATTTACTTTCTTCTTTCTTACTCTTAATAAAAATAGAGATAAGATGTTTTTGTATAAATACTAACGGTTAATAAAAAAGTGTAAATAACACGTTGAAATCCTACACCATTGCTAACTTGAAAAATAAATAGCTATTGCCCGCTAATCCGCTCGCGCGATATTAAAAATGAAACTTTATTAGTGTGTTACATGTTCTTCCAAACTTCTCTATATGTGTAAATTCATTGAAATCCGAAAAGCTCCACCTTTCAGACGGTAAAGTAACAAACATCCATCCGTCCAATCTTCTGTATTAGCTAGATTTATTTTTACGATTATCTTTTTAAATAGTTAAATATTTGTAGGTTACTGAGACAATTGGGATGTTCTCATGGTTGCACGTCAGCGCTGCGCGGGCCGCAGGCGGAGTGCCTCAGAGTGCAAGCTCGCAACTCGCTCAGACAACTCAGGACTGCCAATATATCCAAGTTTAACCTACGTATCCGAGAGATGACCAAATTCGCACCAATTAGAGAAGTTTTGGATAATTTACATGCGACTATCGGCTTTTGTGCGGAGCCATCTAATATGGTATCGCCAATGAGTAAGTTATTCTTTCTTGCTTACTCTTTCTCTCTCTTGCTTTATTAAATTAGTATTGATTAAAATTTATGATGTTTCCTTGTTTTATAAACATGCTATGTTTTGAATTCTTTTCCATCCATCCAACTTTCGAATTTATAATATTAGTAAGATCAAAATGATCATCAAAAATGATTTTATATGTTACAGATCAACAGAAACGTAATTTCGCAAAATCTCCAGATATAAGCCACTTACAAGCCGGGTATGCTACGAACTTTGGCACAGGACAGAATGCCAACACGCACAGAGCTATAGAGAACTTTGTTATAGAGGCTACCTTCAGAGTGCTCGTCACAAGATTCGCTTTGATGCATAAGGAATTGAAGATGCTCGACAATTCCGTAAGAATTTAAAAAAATTGTTACAATTTTTCAAACTTTTCAAATTGACTTTTAGTGAGCTCTTTATAAAGGAAATCGACGTTTTATTTATTGGTTCATACAGATTAACATTTTCTACTAATAAGATTGTTAAATGTTCTTGAAAAATGATTTAAATGAATTTTCTCATCAGGCTCTTTATATGGAAGTGCGTCTACTACTAAGCTATGTGAAAGAAGCGCACGGCAGCGAGTTCCGGCTGGTGGCGCTGAGCGC